AGTTTATTTATAACCTGTTATAAGTGCTATATCTGTTTGCAGTTAGGAAATGCAGAATTCAAAGTGATCTCCTAGCTTGTAAGCAAACTGAGATGCACTATCCCTTTTCTATTAAAATAAAAATCAGTTAATGTGTCAAGAAACCAACTCTAGTAAAGTCAGGTTTAATATTAGCCTTTCTTATGTGTTTCATCTAATTATTTTGGTTGTTAATAGGGTGATAATTATTTTGGTTGTTAATATGGTGATAATTAAAAGTCAAGGTAAATTTTAAATATTAGGAATTCTGATTTATTGAGCTTGAATTATGCCACCATGCTTATGTAAAAATGAAAGTGGCAACATGGTTAAACTGAGAAAGTTTCTCAGTTGTAACAATTTTGATTTTTTCTTTTCTGTGACCCTGTTGTCTTGAACCATAGCAAAAGGATACTGCATCTCTTATTGTATTGCTGAGGTTATTGAAGTTACATAAAACACATCTCAGTCTCTGTTTCTTAGAAGGAAAGTCCTGCTAGTTGACTGACAATTCTAAGCAGGGAGAATTAAGATAAATGTGTTTAATTAATGTTTTGCACACAAATGCAGAATTTGTATAACCACATGACATCATAGTTGTGATCTCAAAAAAAGGACTTTCTCCTTTATCTTTTTCTTGCAGTTAATGTAGGAATTCTCTGAAACTCTAAGCTTCTGAAGTGTTAGAGGTAGAGATGGTCTAGCAAAGATGTAGTTTGTAATGTCTTATCCATTTAGCATGTGTTTATTTTTTGTTATGTACTAGAAGGTGACATGTTTGTTTGGCTCAGTGATAATTACAACTAAAAAATCATTTATTAGCGAAAGGAGAAGCAATCTCAACCTTAACAAATCAGAAATGTTTCTTATTATTTTGTATTGAGTTGAATATTTGACTCTTTAACACTTTTCTACATACAAAACACAAGTCATGTCTCTTGAAGGGTTCTTCATAATTATATTATAGAAGAATTTAGTATGTCATAAGCACTTAAAGATTTGACATTCAACTGTAGCAGTATCCATGTTGGTTAATTTTCTTATGAGCCCCATGATGAGTTTGAGAAAAATTGAAAGAAATTATAGATTATCAGGTTCTGTTAAATTGTTACATGTATCTTGCTTAAGTTTTTGTTCATTAATTTATATCCAATTACATAAAGCAAATTTGGAGGAAACACCTGAAGTTGTGCAATATTTTCAGCGATATTACTTTTTTATCTTTGTGTTTTCTACTTAAACATGATGTCTGTCATCAAGTATTATAGTCAGACTTTCTTTTTTTCTAGATTGTCAAAATTGGTAAATGAACATTTTTTTTAATCATCTTCTATGTTGCTGTTAGTCTTTCTTTATTAACAAGGTTTCTTTTACAGAAGTTTGGCAGTAATATTGAGGGAACCAGGATTGAGCTGAATGTTTTTTTTTTTTAATAAGGTACTTTGTATTCTTTCATTTTGATCTCCACATACCATGTTAAGAACCATCAATTTTGGCTTTTACCAAGTTAAATAAAGTTATAATACAGTTGTAAAGGGCTAAAGTTAGAATTGATTACATAAGAATCAATTCTCCCAAGTTATCTAATCCTTTCTTCAGAACACACATGTATAAATTTAATTAATTGCCTTTAGTTTTCTAGGTATATAGATAAACTTTGGGGGAAGTATTTTTTATGGCCTGGCATTTACTATCATCTAATCATAAGTTTAGAAGCTTGGTAGCTTCTAAATTTTCTAAAGCAAATAATAGGCATATTATATTACCCTGTTATCCAGCATAATTGGGATTGGGTAAGATGTGTTCAGGCTTGGCTGTAGAATTTGAAATGTCTGAAAAGCCTGACCAGGAAAAAATAATCTTATTCTTTTAAATGTAAACCAAAGAAGTTAAAATACTTTCAGATACTTGGAGTTTGGTTCGCACAAACTTTTTAAATGCCATGAGTGTTTTTTATAGGACATCTCTTATAACAGGTATTGACTCTCCAAACTATTTTCGGTGTCTATATTACATAAAACAGAATACAGTGAGGATCGAGGTAACAAATTCTCTATGTGCAAAGTTCCTTTTTAGGGAAGCATACATTTTTAAAAAGGATTAACAATAAAGGAGTACAAAGTAAAGCGGCCTGTGGTCCTTAGACTGAAAATGGCAAACAGAAAAGGTAAGTTTTTTGGCATAATTCATATATGTAGCCAGTTGGTGGCCCATGTTTGCTTACAAAGGCATTGGCTAGCAGATCAGTTTCTCACAGTCAGCTGAGGACACTTGACACTTGCATGTTAAATGCGTCATAGCTAATCAGCTAATTTTTTAAGCCTTTAAATTTGAAATCGGTGGACGTGAGAAAAAGTGTATTTTTGGTCAGTATCTCCTGAAGTAATACTAAATTTACTCACCGGAATTTAAAGATCATCTGTTCTTTTACTGGGTAGGGAAGAAGTCAGATCGCTTGTAACCCCTCCTTCTGCCCCCGATGTCGCTCCCCTTTTCTAGTCGGACACTCAGCTGGGCTTCCCTCAGACCCAGGCTTCGGGTTGTCCCATCATGTGAGGATGGCCATGAGAGCCCTCGGTGTCCTATTCATTCTTATTCTGAATGCCTTATGTTACTCCTTCTGAGGACATAGTTTAATTCCTTCTAATTTCTTCCTCCTGGTCCCACTTCATAAGTATTTTGCCATCATTAAATTAAAAAGTGTGGAGTAAAAATGTCCAGCTACAAAATTTCATCTTTGCATTAAATGTCATTACTAATTGACCCCCTGTTAGGTGACTGACCTGAGAACTATCAAGAAATGGCCTGCAAATTTTTCCTCAGTTCTGTATTGTCAGAATAGACACTTGCTTATGGCCAGGCAGTAGTTTAATTAATGCTCATAATTCAGATTTAGACAGCACTTTAGTTTGTAGAAATTTCAAGTGAAACATAAGCATTTAATGGGAATGACTGTTAACTGCTTGATTACATTATATAAAACACCTTAAAATGGTACTTTTTCTGAGTGGTTTGAAAGATAGCAAGTCCACTTCAGTATTTAGGGAAAGTTAAGTGGACTGTTCTCTCTTCACATAAGTTATTGTTTTTAACTAGAGAAAACATGATTTTTTAGGTTCTAAGAGTTACATTATAACACAGTAACATTTGTATTAAAATGCCATATAGAAGTTAGTATGAATGAGGCACATCTATTTGGGAATATTAAATGTACTTTGTAATGCCTTTTCTGAGAGCCTCTGGGTCTGAAAGCAGCAGTCCTGGGTGATTGTTTATTCAGATATTGATTGTCCCAGTAACAGGTATCCAGACTTTGCTTTTCCATTTATCCTTCATTTTCTTGCACAGGAACAAAAAATGCAGACAAATTCCTTTACAACCCATTTCTTGATCCATAAACCTTTTGTTAAGAGGCTTCAGTAAAATTTTACAAAAGGGGTTTGGACTTACCTGCACCTTTTAATTGTCCACATTGTTTTTCATTACGTTTTCACCCTGAGCAATGTACATTAGCCTAGGACAGGAACTGGATACATCTAATTAATGTTACTGATAGACTGAAAAGAGTTTAAGGAAACTTTAAGAGGTACTAACTTCTCCATTTTTGTTTTTTGAGAAAAGTTACTGTCCACTGGAAGACTTAGTCATCTTGGATGCTTTCCACAGGTAGTTTGTTTTGTCTGCATAGTGAATGAAGCAGCATTATTAATAAGGTACAGATTTTAGGCATCTAAAACTGATTGTGATCAAATGATAAGCAGTGCCTGTTTGCCTTGAACACATTCTAAGCAGTGCTTATTGACTGTGTTTCTTGGTGCTGAGAAAAAGAAGTTGAAAAGCGCAGCTGAGGGTTTACTTCAGGAGTCTGGTCATAGCAGTGAACTCTGAATGATTATGGGAAAATTTAGTTGGCTAAGCAAGTGCTGGGTCCTTTTCTCTGGGAGCCATATAGTAGTTAATCTAATCATTTTGGATCCGAAAGCAGGTTGTAGGCATTATGTGAATTGGGAAGCCTGGGCTATCTTAGCAGAAAGACATTGAGATTGGCTTCCCAGCAGTATCTATACGAGAGGTATGGGAATAAGCTACATTCTGCCAATTCCAGAATCAAAGCCAGTCTCACCTTTGAAATAGTGCAGAATAGTGATCCTCTTTCCGTGAGGGTAGCTGAACTCAAGCACAGATAAGTTAATTGCTACAATTTTAGAGTATGCGCTGAAGGGAAGTTGTTTTTCATAAACTATTTTCCCTCATGGCCTTTGACAATCACTATAATGTTATTTTGATATGAAGAATAATAACCATTCTTCTAAGTAGTGAGATGGATCCTAGCTGGGCATTTTCAGATTGAAGGTATCTTTAAAGTAAGAAATCACATTTATGGGTCTGGATTTCAATAAACTGCATTGCTGATTTCTCATGAAGAGTAGAGAACATGAAATGCCAACTCCCATGGACGCTTAGAGCCTGATTATCACTTAGCATATTGAAAGTGTTTTTCTCCCCCTGAGTGTCATAGCTGATGAAGAGAAGATGAGGTGTTTTAATGGCAATTCACACGAAGCAGGAGCAATTGGTGGTGTTGGCATTTGGCACGGCATTGGGTTCCCAACTTCCATGCTTAACCTTATATGGTACATTCTTCACACAGCAGTTAAAATAGTTGAGTAAATTGGATGATATCGTTCATCTGCTTAGAGCTTTTAATTGCTTTCTATTGTGTGGAGAATAAAATCCAAGCTGCTTAACGGAGATAGTAGATTTTCTGCCTCTCTCCTTTCATAGTACTCTACTTTTTAGACTTTTTGTGCTTTTTAAAATGTCAAATTCTTATCCTGTCTCAGGTCTGTTGTAGTTTCTGTCCTGCCGTGCACTTCCCCAGATTGTTTGATGGCTGGTTTCTTATCCTCTGTACCAACAGGCCCTGTTTATTCCGTGGCTCTAATTTGTTTACTTTCATTTGTTTCTATGAGAGCAGGACATTTAGGTTCTCAGCAGATATTTATTAAGTGAAGGGAAGGAGAAAGCAGGGTGTCTTAAGCATTTCTGATGGAGTGGAAGCCACCATCCCCATTAGAAAGTGGGGATCTTATAAAGATTTTTGAGGGTGGCAAGAAGGACAAAGGCAAAGCTCTACCTGAGTGGGCAGCTTGCTGATAAGCCTTGTCTCTAATCAGTACTGCCCCTTCACCTGGGAACCAACTTTTGAAAGAAAGGGCGTATAGTGGATACATGTTGTTTTTGTCTGCCAAGTACCCCATGTTTTTTAGAAATAACTCACAACCAATTGTGTAACCCACGATGGACCAATTGTACTACCTCACACCCTTTCCAAGGTAGTTCTCACACTTCGTTGTGCATCAGATCCACCTGGAGGACTGCAATTGTTCAACCTCACCCCTACGTTGAAAGGAGGGGACTTGATAATTTGCATTTCTAACAAATTCTCAGATATCTAATGCTGGAAAGCCACCAGCCTAAGGGAAGGACATTTGAGCCAAGTCAGACTAATCAGGAATCCTTATGTGGGGATTTTTCATACTAGGGTTAGGGCAAGGAGCCCTTTTCTTCTGGTTACAAAGCTATAAGGATGTAAGGTCTGAACCACCATGCCGAAGAGTCAGTTCGAGAGAATCTAACACAAGAACAAAGTGAAGGGTTGGAAAAGGCCTAATGGATGCACTTGAGCCATTGATTCAGTCGTCCCCAGGCCAAACTCACCACTGCCTTCCCACAGTTCATATGGGGCAATACATGTACCTTAATATACTTGGGGCTGTTTGTTTAGTTAGGCTGTTTATTTAGTTGATTTCTTTTTATCTTAAGCAGGCCTGTGAAGCAGTTGACATTAGCCCTATTTTATAGCAGAGTAAACTGATTCTCAAAGCAGTAAAATAATTTGAATTCAAGCTGTACTTATAGCCACTATCCCATGTAGTTAATAGAATTTAAAGTTGCCATTTTTAGTAGATCAGGCTCTTCTCTTATGTATTTGCTCACTACCTCTTTTCCATAGATAGATATCAGAAAGTCACCTCTAGCCCAAGGGCAACAGATTTCTGGGCTATGAACCACTTTGACCCACAGATGTGAAATGTTTGGCCAGCCAGCACTGTTAAGCACTTAAAAACTTAAATTCTAAGAGTGTCTTCAGCATCATATGCTTCTAAGTTTGCCAGTGTTTCTGCCTCTTAGTGTCTTATACCAAATCTCTTCTAGCATATAGTTTAGACTCAAGCCACAGTCCAGGCCTGAGCCTCTGCATCAGTTCACTTTCCATCTCTGGAGTAGCTGGCTGGAACTCTGCCTCTTTAACTGGGATTAGCTCATACATTTTACTCCAACATCCTAATTTTATGAGCAAATATGGTTGCTTAAGAATTGCCTTTGTCCAACTTAGACCCTGCCCCTACCTCATGATGCCAAGTACCATGTGGGGAACCATGCCACACAGACATAATTCCATGCACTCCAAGCCAAGGACTTCTAGTGTTTGAGTTGTTAGCCAGTACCTTTTCCTTACTTAACAGTGGCCCGAGTCAGTTAAATCAGATCCAACTTGAAGCTGATAATTGGAAAGCTTGACCAGTAGTTTAGCAAAGCATGAGCTTTAGAGTTCAACTGCTTGGCTTCAAATATTTCTGATGCATAATAGCTGTGTGATCTTAGGCAAGTTGTTCAACCTGTGTCTCAGTTTTCTCCATCTGAAAAATGGCAATAATAGCACTACTTCATAGAGTGGTTTTTGAGGATTAGATACTTGCAGACTACTCAGACTCACAACTGGTAAGTAGCACTTAATAATATTTAGACGTCCACAGCAATCTTCTGTAATTCTGTATCTTACCCAAGGTAGGGGCTCTATTATATTTTGTCATTTTAAGAGCTAAGTAAACGGTGGAAGCAACTCATAGACTGCTTACTTCGAAATGGATTTTTAAGGCCCTGAGGCTCCTTGTGTGTGGATTTACTTCACCCTGTCAGACAGTGAACTTTGCACCAGATTTCCACAGAACTATGCTAACTCAAGCAGAAAGGCACTTTCCTGCCTTTGGAAAACTGCATCTGAGGGTGAGGGTGAGAAGTTCCCATTTGCTGCTTGGTTTTCAGAATCCAGACACCTCACATTTATTAGTGAATTAGTGTGATGGTGCTAAGGACATAAAAGAACTGTTGAGAAGGCACACTGTTGGACTAAATTTGAAGCAAAGAGGAAGACTGTTTTCCACTTATCATCTTAGAAGAAATAAACTTGGGAGTCACTCCAGAGAAAAGCATCTTTGGATTTTATTCCCTTATTGAATGATTCAGGCACTCAGCAAGCTGGGGCTTTCTAAAATCCCCCAGTGCTCCCTTCAGTTGCTGGGAATCTCCCACTCGGACCTGAGCCAAGTGTTTGGTTGGCGCTGGCCTTTTAGAGTCCTGGCTTCGCTGTCAAGTCATGGCTTTTTTGCTGTGAATGACGACAGCTGTCTTGGAAACGCTCCTATTCTGACTTGAGAGATAAGGAATAAGGAATCCTGCCAACATATGGGAGAGCTGATAGGGACATAGCACACTGCTGGAAGCTCAAGGCCTGGGACCAGTGAGAGGCAGAGTAGACTTGATTGCCAAGAGCCTGATCAGAGCATGTTACACAGGACAACTAACAACTGCTCCCTAACAACTGAGTTCTTCTGTGTGGCAAGGATTTAGACTTTCTGCAAATGAGGATTAATTGCTCTCTGGGTGTCCTGGACCACTGTAGAGGCCCCTGATTGAGGGAGTCTATCATCACTTCTGGTAAGCCACCTGGGGACAAAGCCTTTGACCAAAGGTAGGGAGGTATAGATCAGTTGCCTCTTTTTGGAGATGAAAGCCCAGAAACAAGACTTGACCAGAATTAGAACTGTTGACAGCAGGAGAGAGCCTTAATCTAGTTCAAATTGCTAAATTTTAGAGGCTCCATGACTCCCAGGGTCACACTGAAAAAGCAGTAGTAGCAAAGTAGGGGCTGGAATTAGGTCTCCCTACTTGGAGGCCAGAACTCTCCCCACCTGATCAGCTGCCTTTCTAGGGCAGATGTGCTAGGAAGGTGCAGTGTTTGAGAAGCAATGATCAGAAATGGCTCAAGACACAGTGAGAAGCCCAAGACAGCATTTTCACCTTCAGAGGCCTCTGCACAAGGATACAGTGGTGTCAGACACCCAGCCTTTCCACCTTCCTTCACATACATGTTTGTTTTTGGCCATCCAGCTTGTAGGATCTTAGCTCCCTGGCCAGGGATTGAATCCCAGCCACATCCGTGAAAACACCAAGTTCTAACCACTGGACCGCCAGGGACCTCCCTCACAAGCATGTTTTTGAGGGAGGAGCTCAAGCTGCAGGTAGGATAAAGGAGACAAAACTGATAGCAAGACTGCAGCCAGGGCAGCAGATAGACGTTAAGGTGCTGGAGGGCTAATGCGTGAAGCCCAGAAGGAAATAGCAACAACTAGGAAATCACCCTGGCATAAAAAGTTTAAAAACACCTAAAATGAACACTGAAATGAAAGGTTTTTGTAAACGGCAATTTTATGTTTGGTGTGCGGTGACCAGTGCTGCTTTTATACTGTGATGGGTAGCATTCTGATATGTGAGGGGGCCAAGAGGCCACCCTGTTCAGCAGCCTAGCTCTAGTTCAACCCTTTCACCTGCCCTGCTGGGCTGGGCTCCCAGCACCCAGGCTGTGGAAGAGAGAGAGCCTGCCCTTTGTGGAAGGCATCCTTTTGTCTAGTTCTGACAAGATAGATCTTTCTTTCGGTACCATTTCTTTCTGACGGTACACTAAGTGCAGAAGAGTATCTTTGGACTGTCTTTTCCTAATGAGAACATGCTTTACCTAAAACCTATAACTCCATTCAATATCAGTCATAGGAAACTTGATTGTATATTAATAGATTAAACCACCCTGTCCCTAGCATATGCTGAAAAGTGTTTGCTAAATACAGCAGGCTGGAAGATTGGAAGAGTTGTCTGTGGTCCTTCCCTTACAGAAGCTGCATTTGTGTGTTTGAGTTAGACACTTTTAGGGGCCAGAAGGATAAGCGTTGAAAAGAGTTTCTACTCGGGTCCAACTGATTGTTGCCTTGTGAGAATGAGGCCCAGTATTGCCAGATTTTTAAAGTAAGAAGCCAGAAACCAGATTTATTTGTGAAGTCTCCCCATTTTTAAATGTTTGTTAAATTATTCTGAAAATTTTAAAACATTAAGCTGTCTAAATAAAACATGCTTGGGCCATATGGCTTCTGATTGAAACTTTCTGCCCTGCCCAAGAATTCAAGCAACAATGTATTTTACTGAAATAGATGTTGCATGATCTCTGAAGTGTATAAGTTTTATTACTGAAATATAGCTTTTCTCTTAACTGAAAAATCTAAAACATACATAAACAGACTAACCATTCTGTTACTAAGAAAAATGCTATCAGTAAATAAATGTACTGAAGTATAGAAGATTTTTTATCTTTCATAAATCATTCCCAGTGGTTTCAGTTTGGCGTATAGCAGACCAGTGTCTGAGAAACTTTACCTGCCAAATTTCTTGGCTTTGGCACAGAAAGGGCTCCCTTTCCTTCAGGCCTCGATATCACCATTCCTTGGTAGTGGGAATTGATGTTTTTTTCCTACAAATGGACTCAAGATTATCTCACTAAAAAGACTTTTTTTTTTTTTTCCAATTGCAGAATTACAAAGGGGCTGTAAGAAGTAAGGTAGTGGGATTGTGTGAAACCTCTGTGTTTAGCCCTCAGAAATCTCGAAGCCTGAGATCCAGATCCTCTTTTGGGTCCTTCCAGCCCTGGAAGCTGAGACCTCACTGAAGTCTAACAATGATTTACATACAGGTGGTTGGTTGGTGGTTTTTCTTCCCCCAAAGCCAACTTTGATTCCATCAGTGTATTTCTAAGGAAAATGTAAACTGTTCATACATTCTCTTAACATCACAGTGAAAAACAAGTACCCGTATGTGTGACAGGGCAGGCAGGGAGCTCCACCTGCTCTGGCCTTGACAGAAGCCCTTGGCCGCACTGGTGAACATGCTGGCTTCACCTCTGCACAGACACCTAGGTCGTGCTATCCCACTGGAGCACCGGTGGACCCCAAAGGCAGGGCAGGGGGCGGGGTTCTTTTTGAAATGTTTCCAGGAGTTCTGTCCAGCTGATTCTGTCTTCCAGCCTGGGACTGCTGCACAAAACTACAAGGACATTGATGAGACCATAGATCTGTTGCCTTTTTCTAGGGAAGACTTGGCTTGGAGTGTGGCTGCCTGGATTCGAAAATGTGTCCTTGACTCCATGGAATAATTCTTATAGTTTTGCCTGGAAGAGACCAGAGAATCAGATACGTGAAGCTGCTCCAGGTTGTGATTTTTCCCTTAGTCTGAGCTGTGGGAACCCACTAGCCAAGGAATACTTTTAAAGGCTAATCCCTATCTCTGTTTAAAGAAAGAGTTGGGCTTAAATTTAATAGGAATTATCTGTTATCATGCCCTCTGGAACCACTGTTGGTCCTTTGGGGCCCAGTGTGAAGGAATGATTTCAAGATCTGTGGGCTAGAAGGCAGGAGAACTGCATCTTCACACCAGCCCTGTAGCTTGTGGTGTGACCCCAGATAACTCAGTCATTGAGTCTTGAGATTTCAGTTCCTCTTTGGTAAATTAAGGAAGAAGACTCCCTACACCAGGTGAAAGCTGGGTTCCCCCGGGACATGGGCCCAGCCTCTGGGCTGCCTACATTGCCTTTGCCAGCACCCTCTCACACTGCTGCCTGGCACCTCTGCCTCCCCTGAGCTCATGGGGAACAAAGGCCAGACCAAGGCAATTCAAGCCTTACTTGGCAGTTTCCAAGAGTTTGACAGCCTCTTCATTTCTGCCTTGCTCCATAAACAGCAGGGCCAGCTCCAGCAGGGCATTTGGGATCAAGTAGTGGTCGTATTTAATCCTCTTTTCACTGTAGGACAGAAGAAAACACAGCTTACAGGCTCTGCTTTTGAGCCATCCTTTGGGCACGTCTGCCAGACTCCTCCTGAGCATCTCCCAAATGGGAGGATCCAACTCATGGTCTCATGGGGTTTTCTGATCTGAATTCCAACTTGGAAGGTTCCCACTATTTAGCCCTAGAAAGACTTAACCACATACATATACACCATGGAGTATTACACAGCCATTAAAAAGAATTCATTTGAATCAGTTCTAATGAGATGGATGAAACTGGAGCCCATTATACAGAGTGAAGTAAGCCAGAAAGATAAAGACCATTACAGTATACTAACACATATATATGGAATTTAGAACGATGGTAACGATAACCCTATATGCAAAACAGAAAAAGAGACACAGATGTATAGAACAGACTTTTGGACTCTGTGGGAGAAGGCAAGAGTGGGATGTTTCAAGAGAACAGCATCGAAACATGTATATTATCTAGGGTGAAACATCACTAGCCCAGGTTGGATGCATGAGACAAGTGCTTGGACCTGGTGCACTGGGAAGACCCAGAGGGATCGGGTCGAGAGGGAGGTGGGAGGGGGGATCGGGATGGGGAATACATGTAAATCCATGGCTAATTCATGTCAATGTATGACAAAAACCACTACAATATTGTAAAGTAATTAGCCTCCAACTAATAAAAATAAATGAAAAAAAAAAAAAAAAGAAAGAAAAACATACCAGAAGCAAAATGTTGTTAAAAAAAAAAAAGAATTAACCACAGCAAAGCCTTCCAGTCCTCTGCACCCTGGGCCCCAAGTCCCTGACAACCTATGGTTCACGTCATGTCCTAGGCCCACCTCCACCTCAGTCCCCAACCCTGCCCCCCACCGCCACCCTCTATTTCATCGGCAACCCTTTCCCTTTACGACTTCACCTAAGCAGGGAAGGACTGACTGCTGTCACCCGACCTCAGGTGTCTCCCGTGTCCAGGCATTAGCACATGATCTCCCTGCTCCACTTAAAACTCCTCTTTCCTTTTTCTCTGCCTGATAAACTTGCCAGTTAAAGTGGCATTGCTGGAAAGCCTTTCCTGGTGTCTAGCATTTGGTTTAGGTCCCTCCTCCTGGCACCTGCTGGCCTCTCTGCTTTCCTCTAGCACAGCCCTCACCATACCAGATTAAGTTATAGCTGTCTCTAATATCTGTACTCCCCAAGGACAGAGATCCTAAGTTACAAACTCCAGGGGGCACCATTCACAGGAAACACTGCAGACAGGCTCCTGTCGCTGGACAGTCTGGTGGCCCTGGAGGACAAGGTCTGAATGATCTCGGCCTAGAAGGGTCCTCGCACAAAACAGAAACCAGTACATGTGAAGCAAGTAGGAGTCGGCCAGAGTCGGCACTGTGCATGTGTGCATATGGAAAGAGAAACCCAGAAAATGCTACCCTGAAGCCCCAGGCCCAGGGGGCCATCTGGAGAGAGAGCAGCCAGAGGCACTTACTTGGCAGAGATGCTCCTGAAATTCTCCTCAGCCTCCTGGACACGGCCCAGATATTTCAGACACAGGCCTTTCAGCAGCTTCACCAAGCACTCATCATCCACTGAGTACTCATTCTCTGAGAATAGGGGAGTGAGGGAAGACAGCTTTGTTCATTTTCTCAACAGTTACTCATGGAGCCCCGACTCTGTGCTGGGCCCTGGGGACACAGAGATGGCTCACACATGGCCCCCGTCCTCAGGGAGCTCACATCAGGGGAGGAAAGACGGATACTGAGACAATGACAATACAGTGAAATCAGGACCGACTCAAGGAAACTCAGGGCTTATGGGAGCCCAGCAGAGGCCCTGATGTTCCCTGGGGGACAAGGGACAGCTTCTTGGAGAAGTTGTCACTGGAACTCAGCCTAGGAAGGCAGAGGACAATTACCAGGGTGGAGAAGTGAGGAAGGACATTTTGGGTAGAGGGAACCTCCAACTGTAAAGACCTGTGGTCAGACCCAGCCGGGCCAGTTCAAGGGCCTGGGGGTAGTCACCTGGGCCCTTTTCCAGCGTCTCTTCAGCCTTGATGATAATCTCAAGGATCCCATCTGTGAGTTCCGGCTGCTTCCCAATCACAGCGTAGCCATTCCAAATGTACATCATTTCCTAGGGGCAGGGGAGCAAGTCAGTCCTGGGTTTCCTCCCCAGTGGGGCCTCAAGTTTCTCCATCTATAAAATGTGTAGCGCAGATGAGGATCACTAAAGGCCATCCTAGCTCTAATCTTCGATGACAAGTCTCAGCCCAGCCTTTGAAGCTGTAGGCTTGAGGGAGTGATGGGGATTCTTAACTCTTACTTACTGAGATCTCTCCTTACCCCTGTGAGAATTTAAGATGGACCCGTATTCTCACTCTTCTCATATAGTTTTCAATTACGTTTCTGTTCCTGGATCCCTAGGGCACTAGTCTGCACTCTCCCAATCTCTCTGTCCAAATTTCCCGTCCTTTGAGAACAAGGTCATGCCCCGCACTCTCCAGGGAGTTATCTTCCTTGCTCCAGCTAACAGGGCCTCCTGTACCAGAGGAATCATAGTTGACGTAAGCTCTTCAGGGGCTTAAGACCAAGTTACCTTCTCTCCTATTTCACTAAGGCAGTGGGCCTGAATTTCTATCTATGAAACATAGGATTTCTTTCTTTGCCTTAACTGCCAGGAAGCTCAGAATACTAAACTTTCATTCTAGTAATTCTGTTAGCTTAGATTAGCATTTCCTAAACTATCAAACCCAAGCAATGGACATGACAGTGACTTGTATACATAAACGTCTAGAAAGACTTTTTATAGTTTTTGTTATGTTCTAGGGAGGAACTTTAAGTTTTGAGAAGTACTTATTAAATCATTACATCGTCTAAAAGAGTTCTGTGGCTAAATAACGGAAAATCTGCATCCTTAAGCTTCTTCTCGGAGACCTACCGTGCAGATGAGCATATAAAGGCTCCAAGAAGGTCTACAGTATATAAACTTTGTTCAGGCCGTCTTCCCTAAACGTATTTAATCACAGAAATAATTTTATGCACACAGAGCATCTTGCAGGTTACAGTTTTGGAAATTTTCCCCTAAATATCTGGTTAGGTGTTTTCCCTGCCCCTCCTTACAACATATGCCCCCATCTGATGACAGCTTTATTGTATATTTTGAACTGTAAAATAGTTCAAAATTTACTTAAAGATATTCAAGATATAAGCTCAAATATTGAACTTTTTAATTTCTGTAGTATTTAATAAGTTTTTATCAGCAGATTTTCATCCCTGCTCTATGAAATGGGCTAGGTAGATATTTACATTTAAGGGAAAGGGGACCCTATATGCAAGGTAACACAGTGAACAGCAGAGCCAGGTCTCTGAAGCAGCACCCTTCCTACCTTTCTGGCTGCCTTATTATTTGAATAACAAGGACTCGTAACAAACTAGAACCTGCTCTGATCATGCATGGAATTGTCATCATAACTGTGATTCAGAATATGGGCTCCAGAACCATACTGCCTGGGTTCAGATTCTAACTCATCAGCTATGGGACCTGGACAAGTTATTTCATCTTTCTACTTATATCTTATCTATATTTTATCTTCCTACTTATCTGTTAGGCCTTATCATCCCCTTCTGTAAAATGGAGATGCCACCAGCACCTAAGAGGATGCTTATGAAGATCAGATGAGGCAATAGGCAATGGGTGTAACGAGCTTTGAACACAGCAGGTGCCCAGCAACAATGCCAGCAATTACTGTTATTTCAGAGTTGACTGTAACACAGGTCCCAGCCTCAGAAAAGCTTGGGGCAGTGATGGGGGAACAGTATAAACAATAATTAAAATCATGTGACAAGACGGAAACAGACAGGATGGCAACACAAACAGCTGAGAGATGCCTATCTAGGAGCGCTGCGTTTTCCGCTTTCAGGCATCTGCAGCCTGCTCACCTGTCTTCCCACCCCCATCCCTAGTAGACCAGTGCTTTCTCAGAGGTTGAGGTAGGCTCAGACTCATGTGTCCCTCACCCAGGGCCAGGTGATTTGTAAACTCCTCTCCAGGCCCTGGGGTCATGAAGGTCTCTGTCCTCCATCCACGCCCTCCAGGGTCACTGGCTATATCCCTGACCCTCAGCTAACCCCCACAATCCCAAATGAGTGCAGGACCAGTCAAGACCCTCCTACCCACCAGAGCAGGGATGGGCAATGAGATAGGTTTAGGGGAGAGGTAGCGTCTGGACTTCCGGATGGCAAACTTCTCTGTGGGTAGAGATTTCCCAGCAATCTTGAGTTTCAGGCCTGGCACAGCTCTGTGGAAGAGATAAGGAGGGTGGAGAGAGGGCAAGAAAATGCTAGAACTGAGTCCCCAACCTATCCAGCCTCTGCTTGACCCCTCTCTGGACCTCATTTTCCCCATCTATATGATGAGAGTGTTGGATTCATAGCCTGCGGCTACGGCCTAATGTCGTACGCCCTGCCGCAAGATCTGACCACTTCCTGTGGCTCGGCAGGCTCCTCTGCACCAGTAGCTGGAGGTGAGGCTGTACATGACCACCACCCCTCAGGCCTGCTCTGCCTTGCAATCGTCCCTCTCTACTCCCAGCCCCCATTTCCTGAGGGCCCAGCAGAAGTCTGACCCTAGTTTCACAGAGGAGATTAAAACTCATAAAGGGAAGGACCTGCCCAAGAGCACACAGCACAAACCTTTCATAAACTCTGGCCATGTGAGCTGCGGCCTCCTCAGCTGTTTCCCAGGGTAGAGTAAAATGTGGCATGCAGCTGAGCAAGACTACATCTGGGGCCCCATCTGGGGCCCCATCCACCCAGCCCTGCCTTGCCCTGAACTTCTGCCACAATCATGGGGGTATGGCTGTGACCTGAGCCATCCAGGCCCAGGAAACAGCTGGACCTAGTTGTGAGGTCCCCACCAAGCACCTCTGCCACTTATTCACTGTGGAACCTGTCTGGGCCTGCTTTCTCATCCCTAAAATGGAGACAATGATATGAAAAGGAGAAGTTGCTACCCCCAAATATGCATCTTTGGCATAACGGTTATTTTAGGCTGATCATTTTTAAGAAAACAGCAAACACACAAAATGCTCTGAAAATCTAGTAGAATTTAACCTTTTTGTAAGACATTTACAAGGGAAATGTCCATGTGTAAGGATGTCTTTCTCTGGACCAGAAAGAGGAGAAAGACTAAATCTCTAAAAACTTATCAATGAAGAAGGCGGAGACTAAAATCTGCATAACAACCATATACCTTCTTTTTTATCTGAAAACCTCCCATAACTGGCTCCCCATCCAACTAAATCTTCTTTTTTGCTTTAGCCAGAGATGGCACTTAAGGTAACAGCTTGGGCCATTTCAGAGAGTCAACTCAGTTTTCCTGGGCCCCTCCCATACAGGAGTTATTAAATTTCTGTTTGCTTTCCCAGTAATCTTATTATGAGGGTCTCAGCCAAGAATCTAGAAGGATGGAGGAAAAATAACTCTTATTTCCCCACACTCTTCCCCTCACAGATCTTCTAGAAAAATTATGTAAGATGCAGAGACTAAGTCACACAGCATCCTGTGACTGACGGCCCAGGAAGCAATGGTCACACTCACTTCCATATCTGCAAGTGGGGGCCAACCCTCACCGGGACTGGGGGAAAGCCTGGGGCTCCCTCTTCAGCCTGCCGTGGCTGAGTCCTGCTCTAGGCCCTTCGCTGAAGGCAAACACAGCAGTGCAGGGAAGAATAAAAACAGTCACCATTGATTGGCTCCAGGCCCTACTGCAGACTCTTTAAATCTGTTCTCTATTTGATTTGCAAAACAACCCTGCACAGCTGAGTTTGTTATTCCCATTTTATAGATGCTGAAACTGTCCCAGATGACAGGAACAAATGGCATAGGCTAGACTTAATCCTGCTTACGTTATTCCAACTCTGCTTTTCTGAGTGTAATCAGGTTAACTCGGCAGAAGGAACCTCTCTGGACCTGTGTCCACATCTGTGCTACACTCTGGATGAAAGAGGCACAGTGGGAATGATGCTGACAAAACCACGTTTGTGAAAGAAAACCTGAACAGATTCAAAGGGATCCAACAGCAGCAGCAAGAGTAGGTGGGGGTGGGAGACAACGACAGGCGTGGGGTGGGGGGAGGACTGGGGAGGGCTGGGGGTTCAGGGCCCAGGGGATGACAACCCCCTCACCTCCCGCTGCTCAGGGTGGCTGTGGGCAGAGCCTGGCTGAGACCGACAATGGAATGCAATGGCTGGACCCACCTAAACAGCTCCACTTCGTCATCTCCGAACGGTTTGTAGTCCTCCTTCCCAAACATGCTGAGGTAGGCGGCCTTCATGTAGATGTAGGTGGCCTGTGTGAGGCAGAGCAATGAGCAACCTGCCCTCCAAATCACAGTCCTAAACTGGCACAAATACCTCACTGGAACCTCACTACGGACCAGCATAGTATTATATTATCCCCAACCCGCAGGGGAGAAACTGGGTGAGGAAACAGAAACAACTTGAGGACATGACCTAGGAGTTACATCCATGAAGGGCCATGTCTAAGCACCTGACCTCTCCACTTTGAAGCAACTGGGCAGACTAAAGCAGGCGATGCTGAGGACAGGGTGGAGATGCAAAGACGGGGCAGCAGGGGCTTCAGGGAAGATCAAAGGGAAGCAGCCACTTCACACCGGGCCCTTGAAGGCCAATAGGAAGATTCACAGAAAGAGAAAAAGGACCTGCCACGCAAGGGGAGCATCCTGATCAAAGGGAGGGCAGAGATGCGTGTAAGCGGGATACAAATGAGTGGGTAGCATAAAGCACGGAATACACACAACGTGTGAGGCCAGGAAGGGCAGAGACCTGGGTTGGGGCTCAGCTCAGGGTCCCTTGGTAAGACTGCCTTGCTGTGTACCAGGCACTTTACAAATGTCACTTGATCGCAAAGACAATGCTTCCTGGGACGACAGGGCTGCTAGGGGCAGAGCTGGGAGGGGCCCCAGATTTGTGTGGCTTCAAGGGCCTACCCACTGGATCCACTGACAAGAAAGGGATGGTTTGCAGAGCCCCAACCTCACCCCCATCTCAGAGATCTATCCCTGAAAGCCGCTCCCCTTTGCCTGAAGTTCAATGCCAGAGGAGCCTGGCTCTGTGCTGCCCTCCAGTGGTCGAGTCTTGAACCACAGCTCCTGCCACCTGGGGCTGCTACCCAGCAAAGTACAGCAGGTAGAGGAGGGAAAGGCATCCTGGAGTCTAGTCTTAGGAGGAAGTGGAAAGCAACCTCCACCTGGGAGCCCCATCCACGCTGAAACTCAGGGCTGCTCCCAGTTCCAGTCTGCCCTTCACAACATGAGGAAAACCTGGTCTTTGCGGGGTGTGCTGAGAAGATGCTCCCTCCCCTCAGTGATATCTGTTCCCCAACCCGTCTTTAACCTCTTGGTATCACTGTGCCTGCTCCCTCTCCCTGGCCCCAGTACTGAGCCACCAAGCGCTCAGGACTTTCCTCCCACAGAGCTCTTGAGTCCCACTGGCCTGGCCCTATCACCCCACACCGTATCCCCACTCCAGGCCTCCAGGGTGGTCTTCCTACTGCCCTAGTCCATGTGGTCTCCTCACTGAGGTCCTGTTCCCACTCCTGCCCCCCACCAGCCATTCTCCACACCACCGCCATGCGGACCTTTTAAAATGAGGTCACCGCAGTCCCTCTTTGACTCACGATATCCCATCACAGTTAGGGAGAACGTCCACATTCCCTGTCATGGACTGCGAGGCCTGATGCAGCCTCCCCTCAATTTCCCCTCCAGCTTCTTCTCCACTGGTGCCCCCTCACTCTAGCCACACTGGCCTCCTCTGAGCTGTTTGCAGAATGTATCAACTCATGGCTTCAGCTTCCTTTTACACCTGTCCTAACATCTACCAGGCCTGGAACATTCTTCAGGGAGATGTCAGCCTGGCTTGCTCCTTCACTCCATTCTGATGTCTTCTCAGGCAGGCCCCTCCTGACCACACTGTTCTCCACATCCTGCACCCACAACTTGCCTGATTTTTCTTTATCGCACTTAACCAGAACCTGACGTTCTCTTACACTGCACATCATCTATGTTTCCTGTCTCTCTCCCCACTAGAACACGAGCTTCGAAGTCTTTACTTTGTTCAGTTGTAGATGACCCGCCCTAGAATAGGACTGGCATGTGAGGGTGCCCCGTGACTGCAGGACAGATTTCTACAAGCACAAATACAAGCCACAGGCAACAAGGGCTCCCCCACTGTCAGGCTAAAGCCCAGACAGCCACTCACGGCCCTGGAGACCTGCTTCTCTGGCTCCTCCTCCGGGCCACTCTTCCCCATCACTCCCTAAACTCACCTCAGGCCCCTGCCTGTGCTGTCCCTTCTCTGCCAGACTTATCTGCGGGCTTCCTCTCAGAGCTTCTGCCCCAGCCCTGCCCCCTGCCCGGACTGAGTCAACAGGAATTAGGATGGATGCAGTGACCTAGCGTGGTGAGAGCCACGGGCATCCAAGTCACTAAGGGATGTTATGGGGCCATGCTGCTGAGGGGGAGTCCTGTCTCCCAGAGTTACCTGTTTGCCTATTGATTCCACATATTTATTTTGCTGGATTATTCAACTAGCTTCTGTGCAGGCAGACAGTTCTTGTCCCCAAGAAGCTTCAGTGTGTGGCTTAGAGGGGGACGATCCCTCCACAGTCCCCCTGCATTCCCACCCACAAGCGCTTCACCTGGTGAAACAGGACCTCCTGGCAGCCCTGAGCTTCCCAGTCTGTGCCCCTCAGTTCTCCTGGCCTGGGGTGTCCTTCTGCCGCCCTAATTCCTCGTCCTTCAAGACTCTCAGTTGAGACAACTCCTTTTTCAGAAGCCTTCCCTGTTCTCCTAGCTGGGCTGCTCAGGGCTGCCTCTGAGCTCCTCCAAGATTTCCCCATTACATCACTGAGCACACAGTTGTCACCACCTGCTTTCTGGCTGCAAGCGCTAGGGGATGGACCCACAGGGATGAGCCGGCTTAGCGCAGGCAGACACAGCAGAGGGCCGGCACACGGGGCAGCGGAAATTAGGGATGAATGAGGCCCCAGAACTCGAGGTGCCACAACCCCTACCTACTTTCACAGGAAACCCTTTTGAGAAAAGCATTGCAGAGAGAGGGGGGCTGACTACTCCAAAGCCACAGAGCTGAAGACTGAGCCAATTCACAGCCAGACTTGCTGACACGTGGAGGCCTGGCCCTCCCTCTGCTCCTCACAGCAGCTGTGTGGCCACCTTAGGTCTCTTCTTCCTTGTGCCCCACTTCACAAGAAGGCTTCCAGATCACTTTAAAAAGGTTCCCGGAGGCTTTGTTGGGAGGGCGAGGGATGAGGGACGAATGCTGGGCCCACAGAGGCTGGGCCTGAGGAAGTGCCTTCAACAGCAAGGGGGTCTTGGGGCAAGCGGGGCCTACTCAGGGGAATTGAGGAGCAAGGGAAAAGCAGAGGCCTTGGAGTCACACAAAACTGTCTTCAGATCCTGTGTGTGTCACCAACTGCTGTGTGGCCCAGGGAAGTTTCTCAGCCTCTCTTAGCCTCGGTGTCTCTCATGTACCTGATGCAGATAACATCTACCTCGCTGGGTGTAATGTGGAGGAAAGGACAAGCGCTGGGCACACAGTCAGAGCTCAGTGAAAGCCCACTCCTCCTCCCGGCCCTGCCTGCCCTGAGCCAGTGAAAGTGAAAGTCACTGTTGTGTCCGACTCTTTGTAACCCCACGGACTGTCTCTGTCCATGGAACTCTCCAGGCAACAATACTGGAGTGGGTTGGCATTCCCTTCTCTAGGGGATCTTCGCAACCCAGGGATTGAATCCAGGTCTCCTGCACTGGCAGGCAGATTCTTTACCGTCTGAGCCACAAGGGAAGCCAGCCCTGAGCCAGAGAGTCCCTTTCAGTTTGGGCCCTAGGCAGGGTGACTGAAGAGGGGCTTTCATGCAGAGGTGGGCAAAAGATGAGAAAATCAGGGTCACTGAGACATACGTGCTATGGATTTCACAATAGAGGATGTTCTCGGATGATGTAGATGATTCTAAGACTCTTAGTTCAGAATTCTGTGCTATCATTACTCTATGGTGATAATGGCTTATACTTATTTCACCACTTACCATGATAATACTTTGGCCACCTGATGTGAAGAACTGACTCGTTGAAAAAGACCCTGATGCTGGGAAAGATTGAAGGCAGGAGAAGGGGACGACAGAGGATGAGATGGTTGGATGGCATCACCAACTCGATGGACATGAGTTTGAGCAAGCTACCAGGAGTTGGTGGTGATGGACAGGGAAGCCTGGCGTGCTGCGGTCCATGGGGTTGCAAAGAGTCAGACACAACTGAGTGACTGAACTTAATTGAACGATAAGCATTTATGCTGAGCATCTGTTTTGTTTTGCCTCCATGGCATCTCCTTAATGCTCACTCCCAACAACACTTATTCTGGGGCATCACCTCATTTTTCTTCTAGGGAATCACCCCTCTCCTACTTCTAATCCATGAGGGGTCTTCCCACCCCTGTTTCCAGGCACTGGCCTGTGATCTATGCAGACCAATGAGGCTCTATCATGGGACTTGGGTTGAAACCAAATGGGAGAGATGATATAGGAGCAGGCAGCCCATAGCCACCCTGCTGGCACATAGAGAGAACCTGCCTGTGCAATGAAGAAGTCACAGAGAAGAGCACAGTCCCAGCCGGAAAAAATAAACCCAAATGACAGAATTAGAATTCCTGGATTCAGCCCAACCTGAAATCAGATGTGCCTAGAATTTTCAGTTATATGAACCAATAAGCCTTTGCGTTTACACCTGCATAGTCAGGTAACATGTCCACTAGCTCCATGTGACTTTTTACATTTAATTAAAATAGAATAAAATTGAAAACATCCAGTTTCCCAGTTACAGCAGGCACATTTCAAGAGCTTGGCGTGCACATGTGACTAGGGGCTCCCACATTGGACAGCATAGAATGTTTTCACTGTAACAGAAAGTTCTGCTGGGCAGCACTCGCGCAGACCATATGAGTGACACTTCTGTCCATTGTGGCTAAAAATCTTGATACCTTGTAGTTCTAAATGTCCCCTGTTTTCTGTGGTCTTTAGCCCCTTCCAACCCTGAGGTCTAATAGAATTTGTGGTTCTGCTTAAATTTTAGCTGAGATGTCTGTGTTCAGTTAGGGGTGTGGTCCTGGCCTGGGGTCTCATGGCCAGTCTAAGCTGGTCTTCTGGTCTCCCTGTTCCCCCAACACATGGTGTCAACCCACCTTGGACCAGGAGTTCTCCTTGCTGAGCAGGTCTGCGTAGAAGTAAGCCATCTTCCACTGGCCCTTGTAGGTGAAGCACCACATCAGCTCCCAGTAGCACATGTGGTGGAACTGCTTCCAGTGCTGCTGGGCCTCACAGCACTCTTCGAACCGCCGGATGGCCTGTGGGTACCTGCCACTGAGCCTCTGCCAGCATCCCCCAGCCCCAGCCGTCTGCCCCAACCCACGAGCCCCATGCCAGGCTGCATCGGGGAGACAGTGGGTGTGGCCTCCAGCCCCGGTTCTACCCTCAAAGTCTTACATGACCTTGGGCCCAGTTACCCTCAAAGTCTCACATGACCTTGGGCCCAGTTACTAACCCTCCGAGGGACTCCAGTCTTTCGGCACAAAGCAAAAGGGTGTGGGACAGAGCTATAACAGAGGCGTAATAGGCAGTGGGAAGTGTTAAAGTGACATAGTGATGTCTCTGCCTGAGAGCAAACTCCAAAGGTTCCAGCAGCTTCCACAAAGTGACCTGACCCCGGGGCATCTGTCCTTAGGCCTGAGGAGCCACAGCCAGGACCAGTGGGGGGCGCCAGAACTCCGAGTCACGGAGTCTGTGCTGGGCCTTGGCTTAGTGCTGGGGATTCTGCCAGGGTGGTGAGCCTCCCCCCCTCATCCCTTCCGCGGCTCCCTCCCACCTCGGAGCCCAGACCCTTAGTCAGGCCCTCCGGATGCCTGCTTCACCCCCAGCAGCAGATTCCAGCCTGTCACCCTGCCCCAGACAGTGGATCCTCCCACCTCTCTGCCTTACCCAAGGGTGCTGGATTCCTCCCTCTCCCTGTCAAATCCCACTCACCGCCACCGCCACCTCCTCCCTCGCCCTCCCAGACTGTCCCGTCGTTGGCAGCGCCTCTCCTGGGCCCGCTCCCTTTGTGGGTCTTCTCTCAGGCCCCCTCCCGGTCTGCCTGTTATTTGTCTGTGTGTCTGCAGCCCGAGTGACCTGGGAGACCTGAGGTGCCTCCAGCACTGGCTCAGACCCCCGTTACTTACGGCATCAACATTGCCTTTAATGACTTCAATCCGCCCGGCAAAGAACAGGAAGATGGCGCCCTACAATGACACGTATTTGGGTTTGTGGGGGGTCCACAGGGCACATGTGAGCTGGAGGTGTCTGCCAGGAGGTGAGGCTCACCTTAGGGTATCGCTTCAGGTAGGGTCTCAAGAGCTTCTCTGCCTCCTCGATGTTGACGTTGCCGGTGCCTGAAGGAGGTGGGGACACATCACAGGACACATCACCATCCTCCCTGGTGATCCTCCCGGAAACCTACCAGGGGCTTCTCAGGGTCTCCACTTCTGCTCTGTGAAATGCGGACGATAACTCTTCCGTCTCCAGGGTGATGTGAGGACTGAATAAGACGCTAGGGCCGACAGCATCCTCATGCCCTCTACAAGGTGGGCAGGACCCACCCCCATTTCACAGATGAGAAAATCGAGTCTGGAAGAACCCAGTCACACTGTAAAGAAGTGAGTGGTCCACTGGCCAGGCCCCTGGACAGTTGCGGTTCTGCCGTTTCTGGTTTCAGGGCCCCCTCCCCAGTCCTGGGGGCCCAGCAGCCCCCTGCCCTCAGAGACAGTCGAAGCCCAGGGGCCCCGGTGCTCACAGGGAGGGTGCGCCTACCGAGCACGAAGGTGAGGAACGTGTGGTAGCAGAGCAGCAGCATGACGCAGAGCGCGGCGCGGAGGCTGTGCCCCGACGCCCCCTCCTGCAGCTGCAGCAGCCCGTAGTCCTGGCGGAAAGACGGGGACCACTGAGGCCCGCCAGGCCTGGGCTCCCCCGGCGCTGCCCCAGGGCCTGGGGCAGGGGTGGGGTGGGGAGGTCCCTGGACAGCTGTGAGGGCGCACTGCTGCGAAGGGGCCAGAGGGCGCTGGGCTCCGACTCCGGAGCCCTGGAGGCTGGGCCAGCTGCTCCCAGGTTTGCAACCAGGAGCGAGAGGCTGTCCCTCTCTTGCTGGGGGCAGAGGACACCTGCCACGGCCAGGGCAAAGGTGAGGGTGTCCCCTATCTCCCTCATAGCCCCTTCCCCATTCCTCCCTGCAGCCACCTGCTCAGTCCCCAGGGTGGGCGCCAAGGCCCTGAGCAGCCCCAAGTCTGGTGGGGGACTAGAAATGACAAGGAGGCAGATGATCCTAACCACAGGATCGGGACACAGACAGGGCCATAGGAACTGCAGGCTGGGAAGGCTCCCAGGAGGAGAAGGCTCCAGAGCCTGCCTGGGGAGGAGCAAGGAGCCAGACCACGCTTGTATCACCCCCGGCATTTTCTGCCCCACTGCCTATCCTAGAGTGCATTCCTGATCTTTCTAATAGAAACATCTGATTTGCCTCACCCCTGCTGCAAAGCCTCCACAGCCCCCTTGACTTTGGGATAAAGACGAAGCCGGAGCTGGTGGGTGCAGGAGGTCCCTCTTGCTCTGGCCTTGCCACCCTCTCTTCCTGGCCAGGCCACCCTGTCCCACCTCTCAGACTTTCTCACGTTCTTCCATCATCATCCTGCGATCCTACTTAGGACCCAAGGGCCTTCTTATATAACAAAACAAAAAAACCCCAAAAAACTGAGAGGGACTTTCAGAGCCTCTAACGAGTGTTTCCCTGGGCCCAGGCCATAGATCACAGATGGCAGCCAAGCCTGTACACGTCCTGGGACAGGCGAAAAGAAGCGCAGGGTCCCAGGTGAGGAGCGGCCCTTCCCAGTTCTCGTCTGTCCTCAGGGCACAGGAGAAAGCCTCCGTGTGGTGCTGGAGTGTGCAGCAGTGCCCTGTTCTAAGCTGTCTTTCACTCAAAGAGAAACAGGCTACACAATCTGCTTGGTCCTGTAGTATTTATTGTTACGATCGTGCTCTTACCATGCCACATAATATGGGTTCTCTGTGTAGTAATGTTCCCTTCAAATAAATTTAAGTTAACAAAAATAAGAACCACATTTGAGAAAAATAATACATAAATAACAATATAGAGACCTGTGGACATGGCAAAAATCAGGAAAGGCTGGAGAAAGTCTCAGCTGGAGAAACACTAACTTGATCAGTGGAGAGGGCAGTCGGTGGTCCTTGCTCAGAGTCACAAGAAGCAGGGGATGAGGCTGGACAGACCCAGGGCTCCTGACTTCCAGGTTAAATCTCCTTGTACCCAGGTTAATGCTCTGGGTCTCCTCCACCAGGGAGCCCTCCGTGATCCGCTACCTGGCACTCAGGTTCCTGCCCTCAGTAAAGCCTCTGGGTTCTTGAGTACTCTGGTTTCCACCTCAAGGCCCAGTGCATAGCAGGGCCCTCCAAGGGCATCTCCCAGGCAAGAAAATGGTCCCCAGGGGAGGGGCTTGCTCAAGGCTATCTGAGGGGAGAAGGACCAGGTTCCTAACACCTGCCAGATGACCCCAGGCCCCTAAAGGACCCCAGGAGCTGCTCTTCATGCCCAACCTCACCCTAGAGCCTCTCCACCCTGAGAAGAGCCTGGTAGCAATCACTGGTCCCATTTGCAGGAGAGCAGTCTGAGGCCTAGAGAGGCCTGAGCCTTGTCCAGGGTCTCACACTGGGGGGAGCTGAGCCAAGGCTGGCACTAAGGCCCCACAGCCCCTCAGCCACACCCTACCAGCTGAGCTCCGGCCCTGGGGCTGAGAGGACTGGGTGCCCCAGGAGGGAGGTGGTTACCTTGTTTCCTGAAAACCCTACGAACTCGAGCAGCCGCAGGATCCTGGTAGGAAGCATGGACAGCGTCTGAAGAGAAAGGCAGAGACCCATGAGGGATGGGGGCTGCCCCACCAACTGCAGACCTCCATAGTCCTGGGGGTGATCCCTGAGGTGCAGGCCCATCTCTGGAATGCCCACGAGGCTGCCCCCAGCTCCTCCCAATGGAGAGAAGCACTATAGCGTAACAATAAGGAACAGACTGCGTCTCGATCCTAGTCTCACCACTCCCAGCTCGGTCACCTCTCTCTGCCTCAGTTTCCTCATCTGTAAAATGGAAATAAAAATAGCCCCTACCGGACAGATCATATTAACACACATGAAGCACATAACGGAGGTTGCACCTAGCAGTTAGCTATTGTTATTACACTTAATCCCTGCTTCGTACCAGGATCTCTGCCATTGCATTGAATCTCAGAACAGTCTTGCAAAGAAGGGATTTACTGCTATGTTTGACAGAGGGAGAAACAGAGGCATAAGGTAAGTGACAGAATATGCCCAAGGCTCCACAGATCAGAAGTGGAGCCACTTCTTGAACCCAAGACAGTCCAGCTAGAACCTGCTAAAGTATCTGATGCAGTCTGCAGCTTGTATTACTCAGCACTTGGGCCAGGATCACTGTTCCCATCTTACAAATGAGGAATCTGAAACCCAGACAGGGGCAGGGATCCCCATCTTAACAGGCTTTGCCCTATAGGGGAGGAGCCACCGCCCACCACACACACTTTGGGGTAAGTCCCCAGCCACCCAAGGCCAGGAGTCCGAATCATCTGAGAGCAGCTCCTCCTCCCAGGAGCAGGCACACCTCTTCTGAGCCTCCCTGACTCAGCTCACACTGTTTCCTCTGCCTAGAATGCTCATTCCGCCTGGAGAACTTCCCTTGCCTGTGGAGCCTTCAAGATCCAGCTCAAATACTCTCCGCTCCCCGGAACCTTCCCCAGCTCCCCCAGAAGGAAGTCCTGGCTTTCTGTTCCCCAAGGGTCACCAGTTGTTTCCAGGCCTGTTTCCTTCCCGGTCACTGGTCAATGTTTAACCACCAGCTTTCTGGGGAGGACAAGGCCCTGATGTCTTGTGTTTGTCAATTTCTGGTGCTATAAACACTGTCGTCATAGTGATTTCAAGCTTCAGCTTGCCTGGGGAAGAAACGTACAGAAGGGACCATGGAGCCACGGCCAGCCCCCACCCCTTCCCAGCTGTGAGCTGCCCCCAGGCTGGCAGTGTGTCTGCTCCATCACTGGGGCCCGGGACAGTAGCCCGGCAGAGACCCAGAGTTCGGGAGTGATGTGCAGGGGAGATTAATCTTGAACCCAGATGCTGGACAAGGGGAGGGCCTGCCCACTCACCAGGTTGAAGGCTCCCACGCCGAGCTTCACCCCTCCTTCAAAGTGCCTGTGGTTCTCCCCCTTGCAGTACTGTGAGGACTGCACGAGGCTGTCCAGCTCCCTGCAGAGGGAAGCAAAGCCTGTTTCGGCCGCATCTGGAGGGCGGGGTCCCCTTCCAGCCGGGGCCAAGTGGCCCCCACTTCTTACTGATCTCAGAACTCCCTGGTGGTGGATGTGGAACTGTCTGGCAATCCAGAGAGCTGATATTCGAGGAACCTCTAGCCCCATCTCCCACCGTAATGACACACCCTTTGCTCTTGAATTTCAGTTCTATCAGCTCTCGCACAACCCCCTCGTCCGACCTCTAGGCATTGGCTTGTGCTCTGCATTCTATCTAGAGCAGCTTCTCAACCTCGGTACTACTGATAGTTTAGGCTGGATAACTGGACAATTCTTTGTTCAGACTCGGGGGGAGGGAGGCTGTCTTGCACGTCCTAGGAAGTTTAGCAGCATTCTTGACCTCTACTCACTAGCTGTCAGGAGCAGCCTCCCCCAGTATGACAAGCAAAATGTTTCTGGACATTGCCAAATGCCTTGTGGGGGGGAAACTGGCCCCAGTTGAGAAACACTGGGCTAACTCCAACAGCACCTCCTTAAGGAAGTCTTCCTGGAGTTTCTTGGTCGGAATGCAACCCTCTTACTTCTGGTCACCCATAGCTCTGAGCACATACATATGCCACTCTGCCTGGGGCAGGACAGGGAACTTAAAGAGGTACCTGCCTCCTTCCCAGGCCATGAGCATCTTGAGAGCATTCACTCAGCAAACACTGACTGAGCTTCTCTGGACGGCAGGGCACAAAGCCGTCAAGCTGCTACCTTCACAGCTCTCCCCTCTCAGGGACGGACCCGCATCAAGTCACTGAGAGGCAGAGGGGGAACCCTGGAGCCTGACCTCACTTGGGGTGCTGGGAAGGTTTCCTCAAGGGGCTGACATCTGAGCTGAAACCTGAGGAACAAGGAGCTGGTCTGCACAGAGCGTTCCTGGCAGAGAGAACAGCATGTCCAAAGGCCCTGAGGTAGGAATGAGCTGGCAAGTTTGAAGAACTGAGGGAAGGCCCAAATGTCTGAGGCGGAGCGGGGCAGGAGGTATGGTTACAAAACTAACAGAGCTCCCAGGAGTGACTCGGCAAAGACCTGGGCCTTTCTTCTAAGAGCAAAAGGGGTCTTGGGAGTTGGCAGGGAGTGCCCTGACAAGGTCTGTGCTTTGAAAACATCACTCTGGCAGCAGGTAGGGAGACTGGAGGGGCCAGAACACACGTCCGGTTTCCTTGTGCAATTCCAGCAGAGACCACACAAAGGAGCATGGTATCCATATACTACATGGCGTGTTACACCCAGTAATAGCTTGAAATCAACCTCACAGTGTCTCCACAGGGAAACTGTCACATTAAGTGTGCAGGGTAATGACGACAGTCTCAAGTCAATTCAAGTCAATTTTTAATGGAAAAGGAGTTTCAATGCCAAACTGGGGGCGGGAGGGAGGCTTACTTACTTTCAGAGCTTTCCTGGTCTGGGAATTGCAGACAAGGACTGCAGGACCATGTTGGGCAGAAGTGCTCTGGATTAAGTCTTCACTCTTTGCTCCATAAACACAGCCCTATGCGTGGCCCAGTGCTGAGCCAGCACGGAAATAACCCATCCGGCCCTCAAGGAGCTCCTAGTCTGGGGAGGGGGTGTGTGTATATAAGCACCGTTTCTATGTATTGGAGGGTTCAAGGAAGGCTTCATGGGGAAAGTGGCATTTGGATGGGGCCTTAACGGATGTGTAGGAATTCTATTGCTGTTCTCAAAATGATTGTTCCTGCATCTTTCTCCTACCCCAACCAGACCAAGCAGCTTGTACAGAATATGTCTTATTTTTCCCTAGTTCAGAGTTAGGCACAAAGATAGCACTTGGGAGGACCGAATGAACAGATACACCCAGAAAACCAGGGGAATAATATTCCAGAACACTGAGGTCCTGAGGTTGCAGAAATGTGAGGTCACATAGCCTTCTAGGTTTCCTGCCTCCAGCCAGCGCCCTCTGCCTCCCACAGTGCAGCCTGAGGGGCACAGGACAGTAGGTGCTGCGCTCTACTGTGCAGTCCCACTCACTTGTACGTCTGGTAGCTGTTTCGAACTTTGATGCCGCCCTTGATGAAGCTCACCATGTTCTCATCCTGCAGGAGGGAGACTTGCTAAGAGCCAGGCCTGGGTGGTTAGCCACAGGCTTGAGAGAATCATCAAAGCTCCAGATCCTTCCTGGCTCTCTCTGGGCCTCACTTTATGAGGGGGCCTGCACGGGTAGGCGTCCGAGGTCAGCTAAACTGGACCTCCCCACTCTACCCTGGGGACTTAAGACGAGGGTCTTGCTTGCCAAACAAGCCTTTCAAAATGCCCAGGGCTGGACCACAACCTCCTTTACCAGGCTCACATGTACATGTTCTATGTGCTTGGAGAAAGGCCTGGAGGAGATGCTCCCACCAGTTAACCACATCTCCTCCAGGTAGAGGAACTGTGGGGAAGGAAGGGAGACTTTCGTTTTGGATTGTGTTTTTTCACAACAAGCAGGTATTTATCACATTTGTAATTTAAAGCACCAATACCTGGGGACTTTCCCGGTGGTCCAGCGATTAAGACTCCACACTTTCACTGCAGGGGGCATGGGTTTGATCCCTGGCTGGGGAACTGAGATTCCACATGCCACACGATGCAGGAAAAAAAAAAGAAGCATCAATGCCTACAGCCCACCTGGCAGTTCCACTCCCAGGTATACACCCAACAAGAACGGATGTATTTCAAGAAGGCTCACAGCACCACTGTTCACAGTAGCCAAGAACCGAAACAACCCAGATGTCCTTTAGCCGGAGAATGGGTAAACAAACTGGCATGTTCACAGCAGGGAGTATTAAACACAGCCTCTTGTGATTAGGTAAAAAAAGAAGCAAGTCCCACACAGTTTGAGGCCTGAAGAAACTCAAAGGCAACCAAAACATAGTGTTGGTGTTCAGACATGAATAGGAAGCTGAGAAATCATTTTTTAAAAAAATAGGGTGGGGATGATACATACAAAACTCCAGGTAGTGGTCTCCCGGCGGGGAAGGGAGGAAGGAGGCAAGGAGGCTGGCCAGCAGGGTTCTGTTCTCTGATTGGGTGGGGATGGGGGGGTGGCTCATGGGTGTTTATTTATTATGTATAATAATAGAGTACACAAAGGAAATAGAAGGCCATTCATGGTGATCCTGATGAAGAACTAAGATTAATCCAATTCTAATCATGAGGTCCAAAAAGATAGAAATATCACTAACGAAAATAAAGAACACCCCAACAATAAAATGTATATGTGCCTCTCCCACCCCAATATGCCTGTTTACGTGATGATTGCCTGCAATGCAGGAGATGTGGGTTCAATCCCCAGGAGGGGAAGATGTCCTGAAAGAGGGCACAGCAACCCACTCCAGTATTCTTGCCTGGGGAATCCCGTGGACAGAGGAGTCTGGCGGGCTGCTGTCCATGGACTTGCAAAGAGCTGGACACAACTGAAGAGACTGAATACATACGCACATATATTTATAATTATACTCCAGGCTTTTTGGTAAAACCAAGGGGTCATGAGTCTCACAATTTCCACTATGGTGAAGAGCACAGGCTCTGAGTCATCCAGAAGGTATGCGCTCAGTCGTGTCCAACAGTTTGTGACCCCAAGAACTTTAGCCCACCAGGCTCCTCTGTCCCTGGGATTCTCCAGGGAAGAATACTAGAGTGGCTGCCATTTCCTACTCTAGGCTGAGTCAGCCAGACCTGCTTTAAACCCCAGCTCTGCCATGTGTTGGCCATATGACCCTGAGAAGGTGGGTCCTTCCCCCTAACTCTCCCCTTCACAGGCCTGAGGTGATGGTTAAATAAAATATGCAAATGTAGGTAGAAACAAATATGCACTGTGTATAAGGTATGTAAGAACCACAACCCTGCAATGTGTATACAAAGCATGGTGTTGCAGGTGCTACAAGTCAAGTTTTGAATGAATCAAGTTTGATTCATTCCGACTTGTCTGTTGAATGAATCAAATGTGAAGCAGGCTTTGTGACAATGTTTGTTACCCCCGCGACACAAAAACAGCAGGAAACAGCAGTCACGAGGTGGACATGCATCCTGTCAGTGGGTGGGAACATGGGTGCCCCTTGTGGAGGGGGAAAGCCTGTCACCTCTGCCACAGAGCCTGCCCAGGGCCAGGAGTGCTGGGGAAACTGTGCCTCGGTCCTCACATCAGCCACAGGTCCTGGCTTCTCTAGATCCTTCAGGCTAAGATGTGGTGCTCCACCCTCTGAAAGCCCCAGGCTGCTTGTACAGGAAGCGGGTTCCTACCTGTAGGAAGGTCAGGGCCGCTCTCTGCAGCAGGCACTCTGCGTAGCAGACCTCAGCGTGGATTTCCTCTGTGGGGAGAAAACCAAAGCCCCATGGCCTCCTGAGACTCTTGGCAGGAGACTTGGATCAACTCCTCATCTCATTTCCCAAAAGGCAAAGGCAGCACCTGCCCACTGCCTCCTGCGTCCCATCACCAGGTTCCTTCACACATGGCACTCCACACTGTCCCCAGTTAGCTTACATTCCCCACACCCACATCCCCCTAGAAGTCAGCGCAGGGCCCTGGGCCGCCTTCTCCTGCCCTCCAGGCATCACTGTAGGTGCGGTGCACCAACACTCCTAGGGCACTGGGATGAACGGATGAAACCAGGGAAGCCACGGGCTGTGGGAGCGAGGAAGGAGAGCTGACGCAGCCGGAGGAGTCAGGAAAGACTTCCAGGAGAAGGATACCTGAGTTGAAAATGGGATGGAAGCATGAGGCAGGAAGAACTTTCTTGCCGGAGGCCCAGGAAAGTCAAACAACTCAGATGCTTGGGGACAGCTGAGCCACAGAAGGTTGAAATGGGGTGAAGCGGGGAGAGACTGAGGGGACAAGGAAAATGAGGGGCAGAAGTCGGGCTGAAAGAGCCTTATACACTGGTGGAGACTTACAGATTTGGTCCTGTGGGCAGCACAGAGCCATGGAAAGTTTGAAGGAGAGAGACACCATCGAAGGCAATGTTTTGTGCTGGAAACGTCGAGGGCTCTTGAGGTGGGGATGGCCATTTGCCCCCCACTCCCACTAAAGGGTCCCCAAATGCTTATGGTTGGCTGCTGCTGCCTCTAGGACTGCCTCACGTGGTCACGGCACAAAGATGCGAAGTGCCAGACCTTCTCTGCTACTCCCCAGAGCTGTTTCATCACAGGGTGTCAGGCTCTAAAACCACAGCCCCCTCTGGGACACCTGAGATCACTACGGTCTTTAAACCATTAAAACTAACTGCACACGCAGCCCTAAGTCCACCCTAGCCTGAGGAGCAAAGTGATAGCTCCTTTGACGGCATTTTCTTTCCTCAATTTGCAGGCCTCAGCAGGTAATGCCGTAAGGTAACTGAGTCTTACCCGCTCCCCACCCCACCCCCACACAGGAGAGCAGGCCTCAGAAGGCCCCAGGTCTGACCCGTCAGTGTCTCAGTGCCTGGGCCAGGGCCCGGGCCGACAACGAGGAGGATAGCTGCCCCGTCCCGCCCCTTCCCGGGCCTGGAACAGGCGGCCTGGCGTCAGCGGGCTGAGAGGACGCCCTGGACGCCACACCTTCTGTGAACTGGTCCATGGTGGGGCGGTGCACCAGGCTGCTGAAGGAATCGGTTACGGAGGACTTCTTCCGGTGCCTGCAGAGAATAACAGGGCCTCGCGTCACTCAGGGAGCAGAGCAGGGGGCCCAGGCACCTCCAACAGCATCCCCTGCCCCTCCCAGAGGAGCCCACACACTTAGCTCCTGGCGACTCCCTCAAATGCAGGCTTTCTCATGCCCTTGCCCGTGCTGCTGCCTCTGCATGGAGCCCCCTCCCCTGCCCCCTCTAACCTGACCTGTTCCTGGTCACCCCACAGGACCCAGCTCTGATGTCATTCCTCCAGGAAGCCTTTCCTGCTCCTCAGGCTGTCCCCCCACGGCCCCATGAGCTGCCCTGCATCATGCTGAGCTGTCACTGTGCCTGCGTCTCCCTGATCAGGATGTTCAGGCATCAGAGGGGCCAGGATCTGATGATTATCTGGGTGAACAGAGCCCAGCACAGGGACTGGCCTACATCAGGCTGGAGTGTGTCCCAGTGAATGATGACTCTACCTGTGCACAAACACGGAGGGTCTGATGGTTCATGCATTCAAGCAGTTAATGTGCACTGAACACCAACTGTGCAGTTCCCACAACAACTGCAGTTCCCACTCTATCATCACACCCATTTTACAGATGAGGAAAATTGAGTCCAGAGAGGGACTTGCCCAAGGTCAGAGAATTATTAGGTGACCAGAGCCAGGATTCATCTCCTCCCAAATCCAGTCTGGCCCTGGAAGCCCTCAGTGAGCGACTTAGACAATGTGGCTCCTGAGGCAGTGCCAACAGGGACAGCTTTGAGCACTTGGGGACACACTTTTGAGCCAAAAGGAGCAGGACTAATAGTGGCATTTTAGGCACTGGGATAGGCCAAAGTGACAAAAGGATGACTTACAACCCCTCATCCCTGCCTGCCCCATGGACCTGACCTCTGACAGAGCGACTGCGCCTCCTTCATCATGTTGCCGGCAAGTAGAATGTCCTGGGGGTCAAAGGTCATCATAGCCTGCATCTCCAGGATGGTGGCATAAGTCAGCGAGTGGTACATGCTTTCCTTGGTTCTGCCAGAGAGAAGGGACATAAAAGCATCAACCCCTAGAACTTCAAGATAGCTGACCCCATGTCATCATTCACCATCCCCTCCCCCATTGTGCATAGGGGGAACACAGGTCCAGAGAGCAGAATGGACTCGCCCAACAGCTGACCCTTCCACTGCTGCTCAGGCGGCGTTGGATCCCAGCTCCTCTTCTTCCTGCTGCATGGCCCTAAGTGACTCTCCAAATCTGAGCTTCAGTTTCTCATTCATTCTATACAGATGGCAGCAGCAGCATGCTGACCTGAGGCGGTACTTCCCTGCGCCAGAGCCATCTCTTGCCTTCTCCCCTATCCACCACAGGCCAAGCCCAAGTCCTGTCTGCAGGGTCTCCTTTACCCTCAAACCCCAACCCAGGCTTACCCATCTTTATGCCTGGACTGCCCTGGCCTCATTACCTCCTGCCTCTCCCCATCCCGTCACCTGATCACATCACTCTCTGCTTGAGCCCACCCGGGGCTTCCACCTACCATGAGATAACTCTGGGGGTTGAGGCCCTGCCCACCTCTCCAGCCCAGTTCTCCTATCACTTCTGCTCCTGCCTCAACATCTGCTCACATTCAAATCTACCCACACTGAACCATACATGCTTACCTCAAGAAAATTCCATCTTTCCCTCCTGCAGGCCTTTGCCCTCGCTGTTCCCACAGCATGAAATGCCCATTCGCTACCCCACACCCCCTGATTCATCTGTAAAGGTGCTCAAATGCCTCAAGGGCCACTGGGGCTCCCACTCCAGGGAGCATGCATCTATGCCTGAGGTACAGGCCACGCTGAGTTTACATCAGCAGACGCTCAGCTCTCTCCCAGACGGTGGGCACCTCAAGGACAGAGCTGTGTGGGTTTATCTCTGTCTTAGCACCAATCTGACAGTGCAAGCTGGGTTCAGGAAGCCTCCCCCTCCTCTCTCCCTGCTCCTCCATGGCCCCAGACCTCTCATCTAAAGGGTGTTGGGAGGGAGAGGGATGGCATTTAGTCTAACACATGCAGAGAGCAACCGGCAAGGAAGGATGGGACCCAGTCCCTCCCTGTACCTGGGGAAGTCACAACACATCTGGGCCTTGATTTATGGTTCTGCAAAATGGGGACAATAACGCTGCTCCACCAGAGTCCCCATGGGACTGGCCAGGGATTACCCTAGCCTGGCACACAGCAGATGCTGACGCAGTCTCCACTCCCTTGTTAACTATTTTCCAAACTCCTCAGTGCCAGGCTTATGCTGGGAACTTCACAGGAGACAGAAATGACTAAGGTTTATAGGCTGTTTATAGACTGTTATAGATTATACGACTTCACACATTTTCCTGCCTTTCTCATTCATAAAACACCTCTGTAAATTAAGTTGCTTTCCTACTTCTGGGTGATTCTCAGGTGATATTATCCTCAGAAGTCAAAGGTTTATGAAGAGAACCAGTCCTAGTAGCTGTCAGGACACCTCCCAGATCTTTGCTAGAACTGCTTGTTGGAAGGCAGTGGCTTGTGGAAAGGAAGTCACAGACTGTTGTGGGGACAGAACTCAAGCTTCAGAATATCTCAGACACAGGCACTAGTTACCAGCTGTGTGATCCTGGTGAGTTCTGTAGGCGTCTCTGAGACTCGGGTTTCTCCTCTGTAAAATGGACACAAAAATTCTCTCCCAGGACTTTTGGGTATCCAGGCTGGGGCCACAATGCTAATGCTCAATAAATATGAGCCTAAGTCCCTCTGTGTCCTGCCAAGGTCAAGGGTCATTGCCCTGCATAACAACTTTCTCCTTTAGGAAGGGTTTCCCTGGCAGCACAAAGACCCACATCCCAGATAATTCCCTTCCTCAGGCCTCTCTAACTCTCACTTTCCTTACCCTCAGGTAAGAAGACTTACTCAGACTTACTCAGGACTCAGGTTCACTTGCCCAGCCCAGTAGGAGGGACCCTGCCTGGGCAGTTGGCAGGCAAAGTGGAATTTCAAGTCTGTAGTCTGGACTGGGATTCAGGGCACAGAGGTATAACACAGCCCCCCAAGACCTCAGGCACCCCAAGTTTAGTTTGCATTCCACAAAGTTCTTATCTGTGCCTATGGTGATGGGACCGCCGGAAGCAGTGCTCCCTTCCCTGTGAGCTAGACCCAGCTCTAGGACACAATGCCCACGGGGTCTCTGCCAGGCCTAGACCAGCTGTCGAGAGAAGGAGAGCATTGAGAGCCGCACCTTGGGATCGGGGACTCCTCGGCCACTGGAGGTCCACTAAGCCCAGTGGCCTCCAGCCCTTCCCTCCCCCTGCCAGTAGCCATGACTCGCGCCCTTGTCAGCTACTTGTCAGCCATCTCTGTCCTCACCATCAGGCTGACCCTGCTCTTTCTGGGGACCCCCCTGCAGTCCCAGTCTAAACCCTGACTTTCAGAGGACCTCTCTGGGTGAGGCTGCTCTAGGCTGGAAGGCAGACAGACCCCCACCCCTGCCTCCAAGCCACTTTCCTTCGTCTTCATGAAAGGCCCCCAGTGCCTCTCAGCCCCACCTTGCTGCCCTCCTCTCCGGCCCACTCACCTTCAGGGGCAGTTGTACCCCCAGTCCACCTTCCACCACTCTGCCCTCACACTTCTGGGACCTACTCCAGCTCTCCCCACCCCTGCCAGGCTGAGTGTCTCTGTTCCTCAAATACACTCGGCCCTCGTTCTCTGCCTGGCTTTTGCTCAGGCTGTTTCTCTGCCTGGAAGTGCCCCCTCCATCTGGCTGACTCCTTCTCACCCAGCCTATCTCGCTTAAGTTCACTTCCTCCGGGCAGACTTCCAGGGCCGGCTTCACAGGGGTGCCATCCGCACGGTCACACAGGGGCCACGCTTGGTTTAATGCTGTGCTGTCGTCGTTTTGAAATCCTTAACAATTTTTGAACAAAGGATTCTACATTTTCATGTTGCAATGTACCGTGGAAGTTATGGGGCTGGACCTAAAGCCTTCCTGACCAGCCCCTTCCCACACAAGTTGGGGTCCTCGTACAATACTCAGCCACCCTTTACTGTTGTTCACTGGTTCCCTGAGGAGCTCTGAGAACAGCCCATATCTTGTTCAATCCTGCAGCCCCAGCATCCCACACATTGCCACGCACACGAGGTTACTCATGAGGTGCTGCCAAGTTAAAATGGTCATGGGTGCCCAACTGCCGCATCCCATGGGTCATACCCTGACCTCGTCGTCAAGCCACAGAACAGCTCTGCTTCTGGAGTCCTGCATGATACACCCACCTTCCCAACCACAAACTCCCCACCTCTGTGCGCTCTCTCTCATCACTCCCACTGCCCGATCCTCCAGCCTGACCCCTCAAGCTTCCTCACTTCACCCACTTTCTTGTCAAAACCCTCACTGCTGAGCCTTCCAGCCCCCTGCAGCGCTGGTTAGGAGCCCAGGCCCAGAAAACAAGAAACTGCCTACTCTCTCCACAACGCTGCCACTGAGCAATAAGGGAGGAAGCCGCCACCACACGGACAGGCACATCCTGAGCTGGATCACCAACCTCAGCCCATCACACTGCTCATCAACTTTTCCTCAATCCCTGTCAGCCCCTACACCCCACCACCAGCCTGGGCCCTTACTCTCAGCAGGGGACTTGGCTTCCCCTCTCAAAGGAATCCTAGGGGACTCCCCTGGTGGTCCAGGAGTTAGGTATCTGCCTTGCAATGCAGGGGACGTGGGTTCAATCCCTGGTTGGCGACCACAATACCCTGCCTGGAGCAACTAAGCCTCGGCACTGCAACTGCTGAAGCTCCTGCACCACAACTAGAGAGTTCTCAAGCTGCCACAAAAGATCCCACGTGCCGCAACTAAGATCAGATGTAAACATTCGAGAAAAGGAATCCCAGGACAGGGCACACCACCCTCTCCCCGACAGGCACACCCCTATTCTACCTCCTTCCTTCCCACCTGGAAGAGGAGGCAGGCGTGAGGCCTCTGTGCCAGATAAACTCCTCCACCTGCTTGAGATCCAAGATGGCCCAGGAGGCAGAGTGTGGCTTGTGGAGCTGAGAGGGGGCTGGATTTCAATTGTGGTTCTGCTAGTTATCAGCCATGACCAATTTTTTCATCAAATGAGTGGAGTAGTGACCATGTTCCAGAGACAGTGCTCAGAGGCAGACATGGAGTGAAGTAAAATAAACTAGAAGCCACCCAAAAACGTGACAAAGGGAAAGCAAAAACTGGGGGGTAGGGGTTGGAGTGGGAAGCCTGGTGAGCCCAGTTACTCCCCGAGGGCAAAGTACGGGTAACAGTAAATGAGGCACTGTGTGTGCAGCAGGAAAGGGAACGAAACGGACCCCCAACGTCTTTCACAGCTTCAGTGGCTACGACTGGGCAGGGGAGGTCATGTGTTAAAGAATTATTTTCTAGACCAATGGTTCTTAATAGTGATAGAGAAAGATATTTATTATACCTCCCCACACCTCCCTTCTGGAAACATTATTTAGGTGTCACAAGAAGGGGTGAGATGTATGCTAATGACGAGCACTGTTTGGTGGAGGGGGAGGCTCTTAAACACAGAAAGAAAGGAAAGACCCTTTTTTAGAATGGGGCAGGTGCTGAGATAAACAGAGGCTACAGCGTCTCTCGAGTGAGGTAAAGGTGGCCTCACAGGAAGACTGTTCTCTCTGCTGCCTCTGGGGGCCTGAGTTCAGGACTCCCTAGGAGAGCAGCCTCCTGAGGTGAGGGAGGGCGAGGCAGCCCCTCAGGGAGGAGGGGGCTTCGGGAGGGAACAGGGCTTTGGGGGTGAAGTGGCAGAGAGGAGCTGCTTAGGGACAAGTAGTGACCAGGAGGGAAGGGGAGCCAGGGAGCCTTCCAGAAGTACTGGAAGGTACTCAGTGATGGGGCAGGATGGAGCCTGGCCTGCCTCAGACGGTGGCCACACTCTTGAGCAGAACTGGTCCTGCCCCACCTCAAGCCAGATCCTCTCAGAGGGTGGGCTGAGGTGTGGGGGCTGCTACCAGATGGACCGCTCTACGACTCATGCCCACCAAGCCCCAGAAGTGCCCCCACAGAAGCTGGGCCGCTGACCCCAGACAGGAGAACGATGGGTCAGTCAGGTCTAGAGAAGCCGAACAGGACTGGCATGAGGAAAGCAGTAGCCCTGCCCCAGCACTCCGTTTCCTGGAGGAGATTGGGGGAAGGCAGTTCTGGTGGGGCCAGCTGTGGCACAGGACAACCTAGAGCTGAAAAGAGGGGATTAGGCCGGCAGGCGGCAGACGTGATTACACCTCACCCCGACCCCATCTCAACCCCAGGACCCAGGCTGCCACGGCTCTCTGCCCACGTGGAAGAAGGTGGGGGGGTTGGGGCGGCAGTGTTCTTTTCCTGAAATGCTAACATCTGGGGCCCACTCTCTTCCAGCTCATCCAAAAGCTGATCCCACCAATCACAAGGCTACTTGGGCTAGACCTTCCCATTGGATTTTGAGTGAACTTGCTCTTAAATATGACCAGCCAGCCAGCCAGGGACCATGGTTGTTTCAGGAAAGCCCCTCCCCACCACGGGGAGAGGATTCTCCCTATAAAGAAAAAAGAAACACAGAGAAAGCCAAGATTATGTAGGAAAAAAATAAAATATTTTTAAAAGAGATAATTATTCTGTGATAATAATAACAGCAATAAATACTCATTAGAATGCTTACTACATGCCAGGCCCCATCCTCAGGACACTTATATTTTAAATATAGATGTAAAGAACACAGTGCACCCATAAACGAAGAATAAGATGTTTTAGGGACATTGAGGAGTACTAGGGAATTAATCATATGATTACACAAAAAAGAAAAGTCAATGGATTTAATGATAAGGTTGAGGAACTCTCCCAAAAATCAGGAGGAAAAAAGATAAAGAAATGTAGGGGGCAGGGAACAAATAAATAGCTCAGAAGAGGACTGGACCAGGAAGCCTAGTGACTGATGTAAAGAAAGTCCAGGAAAGAGAAACAGAATATGGAAGGATCAAACGAGAGAATCTCCTAGAACTGAGTTTTCAAATAAAAAAATACCAATTAAACAGACCTACATTCCAGCCCATCATTGTGAAATTTCAGATTTGCAGGAATAAGAGAGAAGATCCTAAACATGTCTGGAGAAGGAGAAAAGATCCCATGCCATGAAAGAAGAATTAGGATTCTCCCAGCTACAGTACCTGCCAGGAAATAGGGCAGAAAACGACTTCAAAATTCTGAGCAGGAAAGCTTATATTCATGCAACTCTCTCTTAGGAAACTTCTAGAGGATGTGCTCTAACCAAAGGAGGGAGGATATGGATGTGAGAGAGAAAAAGCCAGGCCAAGCAAACTGGAGAGAAGTAAAGGGGATTCCAGGAGCCGGCTGGAAGGTGGCCAGTAAACAGGCCTGTCCCCCAGGGGACAGGTTTCCAGAAAAAGGAGGGACTGAGGGTTTCCTTGATATATGTGAGTATTTAGAGAAAACCTCATGACTTCACGAGTAGTTTTAAAGAGCTCAGGATAAACATATAGCAAACTAGGCAAATGAAAATAACAAGACAATTACTAACTCCAAAAAGAAAATGTAATCTTACAGTGTAAGGCTTATCTCTGCAATGAGCATAATTATACAGTTATAATAAAGAAAACACTGATTACTAATTTAGCCAGATATTGTGATATAATGATAGGAGCAGGAGGAAGGAAGGGAGGTGGGGCAGGGGTTTAAGAAAGCTAAATTCTTGTCAACCATTTGTTGTTCAGTTGCTAAGTCGTATCTGATTCTTTTGCAGCACTGTGGACTGTAGCCTGCTAGGCTCCTCTGTCCATGCGATCTCCCAGACAAGAATACTGGAAGTGGGTTGCCATTTCCTTCTCCAGGGGCTCTTCCCGACCCAGCGAATGAACCCGTGTCTCCTGCCTTCCAGAGGGGTTCTTTACCACTGAGCCACCTAGGAAGCCCCTTGCAACCATTAGATGATATGTAAAAGTAAAAAGTAACAGGAGTGAATTTTATGGTATGTGAATTATATCTCGACTTAATTTCAGTTTTTAAAATAAATTGAAAAAAACAGGTAAGTAAAGAAAGAAGAGTCCAAGTATATCATTTAGAAATAAGGCAGTCGACACTAGAGGAAATGGCTAAACTACTAACTGTCGTCATCGCCCTAAAGGCTTCAGTGAGAGCAATTCGTCTTTAGTACTCTGGAGAAAAATAACTAAAAGGGGCTGTTTTAGAGCTGGATTCTGTGGGAACAAAAAATCAAAGTGGAAGAAGCCACAAGAACCTGAGGAGAAGGAAGTCACAGTGACCTTGAGGAGGGCTTGGCTGTTCATGGCTGTGGAATGGGGATCCTGAGCCATTTTTATGGAATTCTCAGAGGTCAGAGTGACCTAGAAGGCCAAAGGCATTTAGCTACATGGGATTCCTCTCACATAAGACTTCCGGTTCTCCATCTGACACCCCCATCCCTACACTCACATATGTGCGCGCACGCACACACACACACACACACACACACACCCTCCTTAAGCCTCACCTGGGCTTGAGGTAGTTGAGTGCTTCTGAGAACTGGTTGGTGAGGAAGAGGTCAAGGGCGGTCATGCACTGGTCCAGGGCCTCATGGAGGCTGCTCACAGGAGTCCTGGTGGGAGAGACACGAGCATGACCTGGAAGCTCTCAACGAGCCTCGGTCGAGAGGTTCAACCGTCCAGGCTGAATCAGAGCCTCCTAGCGCCCGTTTGACCTCCCTGGGAATCCTTGGATGCCTGTCATGAGCTCCTCCAGGCTGCCGCCTCTGTACTAGGACACAGGACAATCTGAACCTACCTCTGAGTATTCCCAAAGGTGGGAGGCGGGAGTGGAAGGGAAACGTCATCTGAGATCCAGCGGGGGGATTGGGAAGGGGATGAGGATAGGGTGTTGGGGGTTGGTGCAAGGAAGCCTCAGGAATAAATTTATCTTACCTTCCATGAGGGTAAAAGGAGACTCTGTGCCCCTTTTGACCCATTGGACTTCTCTGCCCCCACTTGGGGGGCATAGGCCACCCACTAAGGCCCACTTCAGTCCTTTTCTTCCTCCTCCTTCTCTAGGCCTTCTCGTGGCTTCCTCTGACCTGCACCCCAGAACCCCACAGGCACTGTCACAATGGGTTGGAATGGGCAGCCACCCTGTAATAGCTACTGAAGGGGGCTTTATGTTCAAGAGCCACCTTCCCAACAGCATCTTTAGTATACCTGGCCTCCTCCCAGTCTTTACACCTCTTTTAAAAAAATATTTATTCACTTTTATTTGGCTGCACAGGTCTTATTTGCAGCATGCGGGATCTTCAATCTTTGTTGTAGAGTGAGAGATCTTTGGTTGTGGCATGTGAACTCTTAGTTGTGGCATATGGGATCTAGTTCCCTGACCAGGGGTTGAACCCCAACCCCCTGCATTGGGAGCACAGAGTCTTAACCACTGGACTACCAGGAAGTCCCCCTTACACCTCTTTATAGCTCTTATCACTCTGTGACCTTTTTTTTTTTTTTAACTTATTTTTGGGTTTATTATCTGTCTTCTTCCACTAAAATATAAGCTTCCTGAGGGTGGGAATCTTCATTTTGTTCACTACTGTATCACCAGCATCTAGTATCTGGTACAAAATGGGCTTTTGATAAATGTAGGTTGTCAGTGAATGAATGAATGAACAAATGAATGAATAAGTGAAGAACCCTGGGTTCCGAGAGCAAATTCCTTCTTTCTGAACCTGTTTCCTATCTGAAGGATGAGAGATGGTCCCCAAAGTCCTGTCTGAGTTCCTGTGAATATTTCTTCTCAAGGGGTCTCTTTTACGTAGAGAAGATTCCAAAAGAGTTTCAATGATCTTACTGAAAAAAGATCCTTAAAAGTTAAAGTTCATTCTCCACCAGATAAAGTCCTACACCTATCTTAAGGCCCAGATCTAAGGTCTGTGTGATGCAGCAGCAGAATCTCCCAGGCAAAATGAAGTACGCTTTTTGGTCAAAACTGTTTCTTCTCCCAAATCTGTTCTCCAGATTTCTCAATTAAACAATATCCCTCTATCAAGTTTCCCAAGCCAGAAATATTAGTAGTCATCCCAGACACATCCTCCTGCTGGCCTCCGTCATCTGTTCCATCAGTAAGTCCTATCAGTTCTACCTCCTGAAAATCTCTTAATTCACCTCCTTCTATACCCAGTGGCATCCAGTCCAGGCCACTACCATCTCTACCTAGGTCTGATGGGAGACTCCACATTCTCCTCCTGTCCATTCCTAACTCTTCTGTTACCTCATTTTATTCTGTGCTTCCTTTCACTTCTTGGCCATCTCTTTCACTCACTCTATTAGATTTAGAGTAATTTCTTTAGATCTTTCATTTCACTAATTCTCTTTAAGTATGTCTCACCTGCTGCTTATCCTGTCCACTGAGTTTTTTTTAATTTCAATGATTTTATTTTTCATCTTCATAAATTCTACTTGGTTCTTTTTCAAATCTGCTTGGTCATTTTTGGCAGTATTTTGTTCTCTGCTTATTGGTGCAAGTCCATCTTTGATTTCTTTCCACATTTTAAACACAGTCACAGTGTCTCATCACTCTAGGATCGTAGACTCTAATTCTGCTATTTCTTGCTTCTGGTATCTATTGCTCACAGCACCTCGTTTCCTTGTATGTTTCATAATTTTACCACAAGCTCCTGTCTGACTGATCCCAAAGGGATTTTGAAATGAGAATCCACTTCTTCAGAGAGCATTTTCATTCACTTCAGCCAAGTTCCCTGCGGTGCTACCACCCTAAGACCACTTATGTTACTTTTTTAGTTTAGCGTTTTCAGGACCACAGAGGTAGTGTATATTCAAACCTGAAATTTGTGTGAGAGCTGGCTGGTATGCATAATTTTCTAGGGAGCCCCTCTGTCCCCACCAGAACTGCTGTCTCCCTTTGTGGTGTGTGGGTGTTTTGTTCCTAGTCAATATCCTTACTTGCTGAAGACACCCTTGAGGGTGACATGTTCATGCAGTGGTAGGGTGGTAGGTAGGTA